CTTTTGCCCCCTGGTAGGGTCTCCCATGGCAAATTGGTCCTGGGTGAGGGACCAGACAAAGAGCGATTCAGAAGACCCTAATGAAAAGAATATCGAGGGAACAGTTTACCCTGCCCGGGATAGGGTTACCGGGGCCCCGCCCTGGAGCCAGGCCCAGGGAGGGTGCCCGAGGGCAAGCGTCTGGTGGCCGGGCCTTAGTCCATGGGGCCCGGCCGGACACAGCCCAAAGAGGAGACATGGGCCCATCCTCCCGCAGGCCCACCACCTGCAGGAGGCACCATAGGGGTCGGGTGCATTGTGTGCCGGGTGGCGGCCAGGAGCGGAGGCCCTGGCGGACTGACCCCCGGCTGCCAAGACTGGCAATAGGGACATGGAATGTCTCTGGTGGGGAAGGAGCCTGAGTTAGTGCGTGAGGTTGAGAGGTACCGGCTAGATATAGTCGGGCTCACCTCTACGCATGGCTTGGGCTCTGGAACCAGTCTCCTGGAGAGGGGCTGGACTCTGTCTCAGTCTGGAGTTGCCCCTGGTGAGAGGCGGCGGGCTGGGGTGGGTATTCTAATATCCCCTCGGCTTGCTGCCGGTACGTTGGGGTTTTCCCCGGTGGATGAGAGGGTTTGTTCCCTGCGCCTTAGGGTCGGGGAACGGGTCCTGACTGTCATCTGTGCTTATGCGCCGAGTAGCAGTTCGGAGTACCCAGCCTTCTTAGAGTCCCTGGGGGTGGGGTGCTGGAAGGTGCTCCACCTGGAGACTCTGTTGTCCTGCTAGGAGACTTCAATGCTCACGTGGGTAATGACAGCGAGACCTGGAGGGGCGTGATTGAGAGGAACGGCCTCCCTGATCTGAACCCGAGCGGTGCTTTGTTATTGGACTTCTGTGCTAATCACAGTTTGGCCATAACGAATACCCTGTTCAAACATAAGAGTGTCCATAAGTGCACGTGGCACCAGGACGCTCTAGGCCGTAGGTCGATGATCGATTTTGTAATCGTATCACCAGACCTGCGACCATGTGTTCTGGACACTCGGGTAAAGAGAGGGGCTGAGCTGTCAACTGATCACCACCTGGTGGTGAGTTGGATCAGGTGGCGGGGGAGGACGCTGGACAGACCTGGTGCACCTAAACGCGTAGTGAGGGTGTGCTGGGAACATCTAGCAGAGGCCCCAGTCCGCGAGATCTTCAACGCACACCTCCGGCAGAGCTTCAACAGCATTCCGAGGGAGACTGGGGACATTGAGTCCGAATGGACCATGTTCAGCGTCTCCATTGCCAAAGCTGCTGCATTGAGCTGCGGCCGCAAGGTGGTTGGTGCCTGCCGTGGTGGTAATCCCCAAACCAAATGGTGGACACCAGAGGTGAAGGGAGAAACCAGGCTGAAGAAGGAGTCCTATCGGGCTTGGTTAGCCTGTGGGACTCCGGAGGCAACCGACAGGTATCGACAGGCCAAGCGGAATGCGGCTCGGGCAGTGGCTGAAGCAAAAACTCGGGTGTGGGAGGAGTTCGGAGAGGCCATGGAAAAATACTTTCGGACTGCCTCGAAGAGATTCTGGCAAACCGTCAGGCGTCTCAGGAAGGGAAAGCGGTGCTCTACCTGCACTATGTATAGTGCTGGCGGAGCGCTGCTGACGTCAACTGAGAAAATTGTCAGGCGGTGGAAGGAATACTTCGAGGACCTCCTTAATCTAACTGACACGTCTTCCGAGGAGGAAGCAGAGTCTGGGGATGAGGGGAATGACCCGCCAATTTCCGGGGGCGAGGTCACTGAGGCAGTTAAACAACTCCTTGGTGGCAGAGCCCCTGGTGTTGATGAGGTCTTCCCCAAGTTCCTGAAGGCTCTGGATGTTGTAGGGCTGTCCTGGTTGACACACCTCTGCAATGTTGCGTGGAGATCAGGGGCAGTACCTGTGGACTGGCAGACTGGGGTGGTGGTCCCCATCTTTAAGAAGGGGGACCGGAGGGTGTGTTCCAACTACAGGGGGATCACACTCCTCAGCCTCCCTGGGAAAGTCTATGCCAGGGTGCTGGAAAGGAGAGTTCGTCCGCTAGTCGAACCTCGGATACAGGAGGAACAATGCGGTTTTCGTCCTGGTCGCGGAACACTGGACCAGCTCTTTATCCTCTCCAGGATACTTGAGGGTGCATGGGAGTTTGCCCAACCAGTCTACATGTGTTTTGTGGACTTGGAGAAGGCATTCGACCGTGTCCCTCGGGGTGTCCTGTGGGAGGTGTTGCGGGAGTATGGGGTGTCTGGCCCATTGCTACGGGCCATTCGATCCCTATACAACCATTGTAAGAGCTTGGTTCGCATTGCCGGCAATAAGTCAGACTCGTTCCCGGTGGGTGATGGGCTCCGCCAGGGCTGCCCTTTGTCTCCGGTTCTGTTCATAATTTTTATGGACAGGATTTCTAGGCGCAGCCAAGTGGCGGAGGGCTTTCGCTTTGGTGGCCTCAGAATCTCATCTCCGATTTTTGCGGATGATGTGGTTCTGTTGGCTTCATCGGGTGAGGGCCTCCAGCTCGCACTGGAACGGTTCGCAGCAGAGTGTGAAGCAGCGGGAATGAGGATCAGCACCTCCAAATCTGAGGCCATGGTTCTCAGCCGGAAAAGGGTGGAGTGCCCACTCCGGGTCGGGGATGAGTTCTTGCCCCAAGTGGAGGAGTTCAAGTATCTCGGGGTCTTGTTCGCGAGTGATGGGAGAAGGGAGCCGGAGATCGACAGACGGATTCGGGCTGCAGCTGCAGTAATGCAGACGCTGCACCAGTCCGTCGTGGTGAAGAGGAGCTGAGTGTAAAAGCGAAGCTCTCAATTTACCGGTCGATCTACGTCCCTACCCTCACCTATGGCCACGAGCTATGGGTAGTGACCGAAAGAACGAGATCGCGGATACAAGCGGGAGAAATGAGCTTCCTCCGAAGAGTGGCTGGCCTCTCCCTTAGAGATAGGGTGAGAAGTTCGGCCATCCGGGAGGGGCTCAGAGTAGAGCTGCTGCTGCTCCACATCGAAAGGAGCCAGCTGAGGTGGTTCGGGCATCTGACAAGGATGCCCCCTGGGCGCCTCCTGGGTGAGGTGTTCCAGGCATGTCCCACCGGGGAGGAGGCCCCGGGGCAGACCCAGGACACGCTGGAGAGATTATATCTCTCGGCTGGCCTGGGAACGCCTTGGTGTTCCCCCGGATAAGCTGGAGGAGGTGGCTGGGAAGAGGGAGGTCTGGGTCTCTTTGCTTAGGCTGCTGCCCCCGCGACCCGGCCTCGGATAAAGCGGATGAAGATGGATGGATGGATGGATGGATGGATGGACGGATGGATGGACAAGTGCAAAAGACTAATTTAAAAACCTCTAGAATTAAGTAACGTTACAGAAATAATGTCTCATTTGTATAAGAAAAATGACCAGTGAGGTATGGTTTCTGCTGTCTCATTTCGCGTTTCTAACCTCAATTAATTTTTTTTGCATGCCACCATTCTTCCAGTCAAAGTATGATTGGGAATATATTCTCTGGTAAGTCTGAGAAATGCCACAGTATTGGATTTTATTAAGATCTCAAAGAGTGACTTCAACTGAATGTAGCACTATGACACCATTGACAATAGCTTCAGTCTTGGTGCAGGCACTTTTTGGCTTTGTTAAAGTCTGGAAATGCTTCTCTTCTTTTAGCAACACACAAGTGCAATCCATGGATCTGTAGCTATTGTGACGCTTCATAGTATGAAATGCCAGTGCACCTTCTGCTGCAGACACAACAACATCCTCGTTTTTCCCAGGTGTAACAAAGAACTCAGTCAACTTACTAGATGAATTTTCGCCTCGCACAGCCTTTATATACAGGTGCATATAAGTGGTCCGCAGGTGCGCAATCGCTGTCAAAATAAAAGGCGCGCACCAGATAAGAAGTTGCAACGCACGTTTGCGTACATAAGATTTTCTGGAGGAAGACAGACATTTGTTTAGAACTCTTAAAGATGTCGAAGAAGCAAGCTCCTTTAAGCAATTACTTTGGTGTTCCTCCACCTCCAAAGAAATGTCAGAAGGAGTGCGAACCGCAAAAAGAAGCGCGTATTCTCGGAAAAGTGGTTGCAGGAGGTGAGCTGGCTTCAAACAAATGATGAACGCACAAAGATTTGGTGCAGAATATGCAGTGAAAATCCCACCCTAGCGAACAAAAACAGTGCCTTTTATATGTATGCGAACGCGCGTTGCAACTTCTTATCTGGTGCGCGTCTTTTATTTTGACAGCGAATGCGCACCTGCGGACCACTTATGTGCACCCCTGTTTATATGTTTTTAAACCTTTGTTAGACACACAAACGTATTTGCCAGCTCTGCACACAGTGGACTCCACCTCCCATTTATTCTGAGGGATGGTACAAGGGAAATTTGTTTTGCAGTTTGTCTGAAAAGATGCACTTGCGCTTTGGCATCTTGTGGCATCTTTTCAGCGCACCGCTGCGCACTCTGTCCCGTCTGTGAGCGCGGAACAACCACTTACTTCGGGACGAAGTCGCACATATGGGTCCCTCTGTATGTCTATAGGAAAACCCGGACATTTTCATCCATCTCGAAAATCCCCCCGGACAGAACGTGAAAAGTGGACATGTCCGAGGAAAAGAGGACGGTTGGTCACCCTATGTGTACTCATGTTGTACAATGTGTTGAACTGTATTATGGTTATTGTTGTTTAACAGAGAGACAGTATTTTATTTGTCACCACAAGGAAGCACGTATGCTGCGTCATCAGCCCCTGAGAGAGAAAGTGTACCCCAACAAAAATGGCACCCATGAGGAAAGGTTTTGCCGCGTTCCCTAATGTGGAACAAAGTTCCCAAAATGTTAAGGACATTTTTGCCTCCGTCGTCATTTCCCTTTGACTTGATCACTGTTGATGCTGCAATACTCAACAACAGTAATAACTATTTCTCAAGACCACTTTAAAAAAATTACAATAATATCTGACTTCTTGGAAGCAAACTATAAAGAAATGAACATTCAGACAAAACTACTTTACCTTGTAGTATTCACCATAAAGTTTTGAGACTAGACCGATGAAAGGGAATCCCATGATGGTCACCAGTGTGAGCTTCCAGGACATGCCAAACATGAAGATGAAGAAGCCAACGCCCTTAATGACACTCCGCAGGAAGATGTTGACATTCTGGGAGATGAGGTCGCTCACCTGGGTGGTGTCAGCAGACAGACGTGAAAGGATGTCACCTGCAGGGTTACAAGGGCGTGGAATAACATTAGAACGGATCAATGGAAGGGAAAGATGTGTGCACAGGAACTCGCGTTCAACATCACCTGTGTGATTGTCATCAAAAAAGGCAATTTCTTGCCTCATCAAGGTTCGGAAAAGATGGTTCCTGAGACGAAGGTTTAATCTCGCAAACGTCAGGGTGAAGACACCTCCTCGTACTCCGATTGCAAGTGAACTGAGGAGAGAGAAAAGACTGCCATGAAGCAGTTCTGTGGTTTGGCATTTAACACACGTCATCATCTAAACAAAGCAAGCAGCTTTGCCAAGGATCATCTCAGTATATAAGCTGAATGCATTCCTCTGTGTAATTTACAACAAAATGTAAACAAAACATTAAAAAACAAAAATTAAAACCTACAACTGCGGATGCTCACCTGGCTAAGGCCAGTGCTGCAAGTATGATCACAGGTTTGGCAAAGTACTCCATGCTTTGGTGAACCACAATACTGTCTATGGCTTTCCCATAGTAGTACGGTATGAAAGCCTCACCTGAAAGCAAAGAGTCATCATTACTTAATGTTTTTTAAAGTCTAAGTTGAACTGATGATCCATACATAAAGGCTTTGTGACAACTTGAGCATTCAATTTTATTTAATTAGTTTTTTATCCATCCATCCATTCGCTTACGCTTATCCCTTTCAAGGTGGCGGGGTGTGCTGGAGCCTATCCCAGCTGTCATAGGGCGAGAGGCGGGGTACATCCTGGACAGGTCGCCAGTCTGTCGCAGGGCCAACACACAGAGACAGACAACCATTCATGCTCACATTAACACTTATAGGCAATTTAGATTGATCAGTTAACCTATCCCCACAAGCTGCATGTGTTTGGACTGTGGGAGGAAGCCGGAGTACCCAGGGAGAACATGCAAACTCCACACTGAAAGACCACAGCCTGATGGAGAATTGAACTCAGGACATTCTTGCTGTGCGGCAACAGTGGTAACCTCCATGTTCGATGCTTTTTTTTATTCAATTCTAAATCAGAGTGAAAAATAAGGTCACTGTACATTCATAGTGAGAGCGTTTTTTGTTTTTTGGGACATTTGGGACTCCCCTTGTCCCAAATGTTTTTCTAACATTTAGGAACAGAACCTCGAGGTGTTTGGGCTCACCCTTAGAGCTCAGATGCTCAGTTCCTGGGGAGCAGTTCAGGCAAGGGAAGATTAGTTAAGATGCCTCCTGAACACCTCCAATATGAAGTTTTTCTTGTATACCCAACAAGAAAGAGACACCTGGGCCCACCAAGGACATGCTGGACAAATTATGTCTCTTGGCTGGTTTGGGATATCCTTGTGAAAGAGCTGGAGGCTGAGGTGGAGGAAAGTGAGTTCTAGGCGTCTCTGCTCAGACTGTTGCCCCTGTAATCGCTTTTTAAGCAGCACAAAACCAATGGATGGATGGACAAATGCATAGTTTAGATGTACGAGTACATAAAATACCTCAAATTTTTATATTGTACTTCAAAGAAAATGAGCAAACTTCCAAAATGATTTGAATGAAATGTGTGTATTTAATGATATTCCATAAATTAAAGAATTGATGAAACTGATAAAACCGTGAGTGCTGTTGGAGGCTCTGGCATTCAGCCCACTGTTACAAACAATAATGAGCCTTAGAGTTACTTAGTATGACTTTGACCTATTAATGTAGGTATAGACGTTTATTGGCATTCACCAAATATACCATTTCCAGCTCTTTTATTTTTATTCTTGGACTCTAATAGAGACGCTTTGTATGCTTCACAGTTGAAATGAAACCTAGCGTTTAATATACAGGGCCTTGGCACAGGCACCGTTTAAGTCAACTTTCTTCTGATTGGCTAGTCCTTTGAAACAGAAGGTTTGAACAGCAGGTGGCTGAGGCTTCTGGTTAGTAATGTAGATGAATATACTGATCAATATCTTTGGGCTTTATGACAAAAAACATTTGTCTTTTAGCAACTGGGACCCATATGAGCGAGTTAGGGGTCCTTTTAATAATTCCATGACAGAAAGCATCAACAGTTGGAACATATTGAAAAGAACACACTTGTTTTTCTACCATAGCACTTATCTGTAATTAAAAAGTGTTGTGTAACGTGGCATGAGTAGCGTAATCAGAACCTGCAGACTCAGTTTTGTCAGTTGCATTGGGGCAGTGTGTCTAAATCCTTTATAACAGACAGCAATAAATAATGTGACATTAAGGACACTCACACACAGCAGAGATGATGAGGAAGAGGACAGCAACAGAGAGCAGCTCAGCATCCTTTTTGCAGTAGCTCAGCAGGCGTCCCAGTGTGGCCCCCGAGCTGCTGTCCTTCTCCTTCTTTCTCTCAGAGCCCAACTCCTGCTCCTCCTCGCCAACTGTCTCCACCAGCTTTTCAGTGTCCTCACGGCCCCTTGTTCCTCTACCACTACTGCTGCTCTCAGACTCCGGCTCCTTCCCCAGCCACCTCCAGAGCAGCATTACTCCCAGAGAAGAGGCACAAGTCCAACATATCAGGCTCAAGAGCCAGGGCTGGTGACTGATGCTCACCTCAGTCAGCATCAGCAGCTTGGCCAGTGTATAGGTGATGACAATCAGACAGATGAGGAGAATAAGGCTGGTGGATTTAGCAACCCTCTGCGGGCCGTCCACCTTGTTCCATGTCACCCCTAAAGAGGCTCCCAGCAGGAGGGAGGCTCGGAGCAGCACTGTCCCCCAGATGTCCAGTGCAGACTGAAGGATATTAAAGTTGAGGGCATCCTCTGTGAAGGTGCTCAGCTGTGATCCATGTGCGTACAGGACAGTGGTGGTGACAACATCCAGGAGGACGTATGACACGATGCAGCCCACAGCCACGTTGATTCCCATGCTGATTATCAGAACAGAGAGCAGCACCGGCACAAAGCAGCAAACAGCGGCTTGAGAAATGATCGGTTACAGTGCAGCAGCGGTTTGAATAAAATGTGAGAAAAGTTTCTCAAAACATACACCAGACAAGAACACAAACACTCAGCAAAACCGGATTATTTTAGTTATTCTTTCCGGTCTTTTTCCGTTTTATGCAGCTGCACAGAAAATATCAAGTAGTCTTATTACAACTACCAGCATTTAGGACGTCACTACATTGTTAATGATTGTCCAGCCATGCCGCAACATTACTGTAACACATATCCTGCTACATTGTTGGCTAGCTTTGTGAATTAGCTTCTTGAGGGCGGTCAGCTGCGTTGCGTTACACTTCCGTGTTAAATCTTGTCACTGTCCAGCCCCGACAGCATTCAGTAACTCACTGAAACCCCTCTCCTTATTCAATGTTGTCCTCAAACACATGCATTACAACCCAAACTGACTCAAGTTCGTGTAACGAATACATGAACTTCGATACCGGCGTTCAAGAAGACGCCGGCATCGAAGCTCGTCTAGATTACAGAAGATTAAGAGCAGGCAGTGATTCTCTGCGGCACACTAGTGAGCGTTTCTACCACCAGTTCATCTTTTTTGCTATCTTGTGTTTTTCTACTCAAGAGGTTCACATGTCCCTAACCCGAATACGAAGCCAATAACGTCTGATGGTTAAAGAATGCCCACTCGTGTTCTGCAGACTACAGAAACCCGCTTTTAAATGGCTAAAGTTACAGGAAAGAAGACAGAGTGACACATCTTTCCTTTTAGCTTTACGGATGTTTCCATAGAGTCTCGCTGAAAATGACCAGTTTGGCTCCTCCCAGTTTTCCATTAAAGTGGACATGGAACATAACATGTATCACTCTGTTTGTGAAGCTAGATTTAAAACAATCAGTCTTTTAACCTTCTGTTTTTACAGCATGTGCAGTGCCATCTGACACCAATATGACATCACTGGGTTGGCGGGTCAGAAGTATGAAGTTACTATCAGTTAATTACTATCAGTAAGTTAATGACTTACTAACAGGTTGTTGTTGCATTGGGTTTTAGGTCATCTCATCTATCATGCGAGTCACCACAGAGCTTCTTAAGGTAAACTCAAGCCAACTGAAGCCTAGCAAACCCTCCCAGCTGTGGTCATATCAGACTGAAAGATGGCATCAGAGTTTTAAAGAATCTTGGTGTTTGTGTTACTTTGTCCACTGACTTTTGAGGTTGTGAAAGTCAACTTTACAGTCACTGTGATCTTTTTGTTATTTAGTGAATTAAACAGAAATTCTCGAAATTATTGTGACTTTCATACATATCTGTGATTTATTGGAAGAGATCAAAACTAAGACAACAAGGTGGCGGGGTGATTAGCACTGCTCCCTCACAGCAAGGTCTTCAGTTCGAATCAACCACGTGGCCTTTCTGTGTGGAGTTTGCGTGGGTTCTCTGTGGGTACTCCGGTTCCTCCCACAGTCCACAGACATGCAGTTAGTGGGGTTAGGTTAACTGGTAATAGGTGTGAATGTGAGTGTCTGTGTGTTAGCCTTGTGATAGACTGGTACCTTGTGGTAGCTGGGATGGGCTCCAGCCACCCCGCGACCCTGACAAGGATAAGTGGAAGAGAATGGATGGATTAAAACTAAAGTGAAATAACTACTATTTGAGCTCACGTTTAGAAACCAAAATTCTATTATTACTTATGACTAATTCAACAAATTTGAATATTTATAAACTTATTAGCTCAGTGAGACATTTGTTTTTGTAGTTTGTGTGATGTGCAGTAGAGCCAGCATATTTTTCAAAGATGATATACATTTTAAATCACCAGGAACTCTTGCAACAAGGTATAGAGTGCCCTCTGGTGGACAAACAATGCAATATCGACACTCGTAACACGGTGAAAGGGTGTTTCTCTCTTCTCTTTTTTTACTTCTTAAATTTTCATTTATCTGTTGTTGTAAATGCCGATATCAATGAGTGATGATCGGATAACAATTTTCCACTGACAAATTGGTCAGGCTTTAATAATAACTACACATCTAGTATACATAAATGAAACAACACCTTTATTTGTAAAGTATTTTAGCAAATAAAAGGTACAAATACCTTTATAGTACTGCAAAATGAAAATAAGTTAAGATGATTTTCAGGAGAAACAACAGTTCATTGGGGAAAAGAGTGTGGGCGTAAAAGAAGATGTGGGCCGCTGGTTGGATTCCGGATGAAATTCCAGATAATTCAGGTACCTTTGGTGCCTTGCACTGACCAGAGTATCACCAACATCCGGAACATCTTCTGCACCTACACCCTTCTCAGTTTACATCGGACTCAGCCAAGTGATACACTAACTCAGTCTTTACATCCTCTGAGCTGCTCTGCTCGGTGGCCAGCACCGTCTCAACGGGAAAAGTCAAATACAAACGCTCCTCTTTCACTTTTTTCAGTGAAGGTGCTTCTCTTGGAGAAAACATGGGGTCTGCCGCTTTAAAGGTCACTGGGGACATGTTGTGTGACTTACGCTTGGCATTCTTCTTCTCTTGTTTGTAGGCTGCATTCATATTGGCTAACACCTGAACATGGAACCAAAGGATAAAAGAGACAAAAACCAAATGAGCTTCCATGCACGTTTGCTGTCACTTAATTTAAGGCTAATAACAGAGATTATGGAGGATGTTATAATGTGATTCTCTAATAGATCAGTTTAATTTGCTAAATCGACTTAATCAACTTTAATTTAACGCACGTGTAAAAAAAAAAAAAAAAGCACTGAAATCAATTATTTTTCCACAATTATTAAATAGATTCAACATCTTTCTACAACAGAAGTGCAGACTGCACAGATGGTACCTTCCGAAAGGAAAAAGTACTATAGCTTACTAGGGTATATTAGACTTAATAGTTACTATATACAGTAATGGACTTCTATATATTTTACATCAGATTAAAACTTTGGTTGTAAGATTCAGATAATTATTTATTAAAAGCTAGACATTTTAAATGAGAATAAGAAAGAAAAGTATTTCTTTGTGCCCCCTTATCTCTGTTAACGCCCTACCTGCCCCCTAGCAAAACTTTGCTAGATCCGCCCCTGCACAGTTACAGCCGTCAGCTACGTAGAAAAGGATCCTGGTGTAGAAAGTAATAATGAATAAATTCTAACAACAGCTTATCAAGCTTAAACGTGCTGATGTTGTTCAGCTGCTGGTTTCCTCTTTCTGGTGCGAAGTGGGCCAAAAACAAACAAGAGAGACAGAGTCGTGACAGAAAATCCGATCAGCTGATCATTGATCAGTTTCATGATTGAAGTAGCAGCAGGAGAGGGAGGGGGAGAGAAGAGGCAGTCGCTCCACATATCGGTTGTTAAGTTTAACGCGGGAATGCTTTACAAATATTCAAAGATGAACTTACACACTTCCTTTACTTCTCTCTGGGATCACTTCCTCGGAGATGAAATGCCGGTTTGGTAGCGAGGCTACAAATGCTCAACCAGACCTCCGACAGGTCTTGCACAGCCGCTCTATCACGTGAGCACACTGCTCCGACGTGCTGAGGTTATGAGCTGAGTTACGCCATGTCGCAAGTTTTGTGAGGTGCTTTCGTGGTTTTTAATGGATCGGATTACATTTTTTATTTCTCTCCGATATCCAATCCAGTAATTTAGGTCAGTATCGGACCGATACCGATACGTAATATTGGATCGGTCCATCTCTACTAATTACGATTTTAAATTTGGATCTATCACTCCAAAAGACTTGCTGCCACTTATCTGCAGTCCAGTTCTTGTGGAATTTGGCATTCCTCAGCCTTTTCTCCCCATTTCCCCTCCTTAACAATAGCTTCCTGTCAGTCATCGTTCCACTGAGATAATTTCTGAACAGGTTTCAGTGATCGTTAGATGGGTCAGACACATGTCTTAGATTTTCTGTCAGAACTTTGCAGGATATTTTTCTAATTCTTACAGACATGACTTTTCTCATACGGTTCATCTATTGTAGATTGTTGTTTTCATTCCTGCCACATCGTTTGTCGTCCACTTGTCCCGTTTCCTTAGGACACACTGCACAACATGTCCACATATGCCAAGTTTTTGTCAGTCATCTTAGTGGTGCAAAAATACTATTTCACATCTGTCAAAGGCGTTATCTTTGGCAACTAAAGAAGAGTGCACAAATTGTGTGTTTTTGCAACAGACAGCTAGTAACAAAGTACCTATAGGTACAATTTAAAGTTGATTCTTTGCCAAGTTGTCTGTTATGTGCGGACACAACAATGACTCATCCCTTGAGTTAGCTGCATTTTGTTTATGCTTGAGTGATTCACAGATCAGTGCTAAGTGGCTTAACATAACAGAAACCAATCCCCTGCAAATATTCAGGTACAAGGGCTGAACTGACAATGAGTGAAGAATGATCAGAGCCTGGGGAACTGCTGTTCAAGACCACGTTAGGAAAATGACAAGACTATCTGGCTCCTTGTTGGCAAAATATAAGGAAATGTTTAGTGGCTCAAGACTTTTGCACACAACTTCATTAGGATGCAACTATTGTTTTATAACAGACTTCCTGACCTCTGCCTGGATTCGTGCGATCGCACACTCGATCACCAGCATCCATTTTCACTTAAGGAAGACAGAAGAAAATGATGAGAATTACCAGCTGCTTAACAGAGTTCTGCTGCTCCTGAATGACACTCATGTACGCAGAGGCCTTCTCCTTCGTAGAGTACACATCCTGCTCCGGCTCGTCACGATTCAGCCGACTTGCTGCGTTCTACATGAAAGGAAATTATGTTTGAGGAATGGCAAACCAATCAGGTGTTTAGAGCTCACTTATCTCCTGCAGTCTCACCTCATTTGGTAAACTGGCTGTCCTGTTAAACATGAGAGAGTAAGGAGTGAACTTTGTTGTGGGGTTGGTGGATGTCCTGAACAGAAACAGCACAGGGTCGAGAAAATCATCCCATTCTGCCTGCTTCTCCGACACCATCTGCAGTATGGCTTCTTTCAACAGAGGGCTTGTGCAGTCGTGGAGTGGGTTGAGCTGAGGCTGGTCCACAGGAGAGACCTTCTGTGTGATGCTCCACCTTTCAAACAGCACCTTTGTCACCTAGAAAATTAAAAATCAAGATCAAAACATGCCTCCGTAGTGTTGACCTACTGTTCTCAATCTTATTATTTTATACGATTCTGCTGCTGTAGTCTCACCTTATCACAGAAGTCAGCATTCTGTGTACAAACTATCATTTTAGGAGCACCGAACCTGATTAAAAACAGAGCAAAGATCAGCATCAGGCTGAAAAGCACCACTGTAGGTATTTAATTCTTGGTAATTTTGCTCATGTGCATGGTCTGCAAATAAGTTGTTTTCAACCTGTATATGCATTTAGAGATGCATCTTGCAACCGAGGCAACATCTGTCTTTTGCACTGGGAAAGCCTCTGGCCATTTAGTGAAGTAATCAATCACCACCGTGACATTCTTGTTGCCTCTC